CTTCATACTTTCAGTCCCCGCTTAAAAAATAAGAGCGGAGCACTCAATTCGAAACTTCAGCTTTTTAGAACTATACTCCGTTTTGAATTTCCATTATAATCTAAACGGAAAATCTACACAGCTCTTCTAAGGTTTATGTGGTACTATAATATTTAATTTTGAACCATACATTTTCAGTCATTAAAAAAATACAAGCATTTCAGGATGCATGCCTACGCTTATTATTAGGAGCTTATCGATACACCACAAACGACTCACAACATAAAAATATTTGCGATTCAACCTTAAATAAATTTGCTTCTCACACCCACAAAAAAACTTTCAATTTTTACACAAATTGTATTATTAATCATCCTACATTAAAACAAATTCAAAGTAACCCACTCAGGTTCCCTAAAAGAAACTAGTATAGGTATTTACTCTCTTTCTCTCTCTCTAAAATCATTTTCCATGGAGTGTCATTAATGGGTGACTCTTCTTTTCAGTCATTTGAATACCTTTTAATTTTTTTATTGTAAAATGTTTCAATAAATATATAATATATTGTAAATTAAGACTTAGAATTGAAAAATTCTATCTAGAACATTAGCACACAAATAAAAATTGTAAATTTTGCTGGTTTAGAACTAAATAGTTCTCAATAAAGATAGCTTTTTAAACAATATTCTTAGGAAAATTTTTTGAGTATAAACAATTGAACATTAATAATAAAGCCTAATATGTAAATAGAAAACAAATAGTCAAAAAATCAAGTTAGCATCTTTTGATTATGATCTCTTTAAAACATAAACCTACAACCAACAGAGCCTGCTTGTATTTAAAAAATTAAATCATCGGTTTTTGACTCATATATCTACGGAATAACACGGGTGAGAAAATGTATGATAATTGTATTAAATTATTATATTATCTACCATCTTTTTATCTTAACACCTAATTTAAGCTGAAACGTATAATATAATACATAACAAACAATCAAAATTATTGTAACCCCCCATTTAAATTAAAATCATACTTCAAGATACCTACGTGTTTTATTTTCGCTATTCAAATTTCGAATCAATAAGATTAATAAAGAATTATTAAGTAGTATTATGTAGTAGATTTATCGCATATATATTGTCTTCTTGATATTTTATTAATAAAACTTGTTGATTGCTTTATTTTATAAGAAACTTAATCAATAAAAAGTATAAAAAAATCTATTTCAAAAAATCAATATTTAAAAATGTATATCATGATAAATTTATGAAATTACCAATTACATGAAATCGGCTGAAAAATTGTCGATTTCGTGAAATCAGCAACGCTGTTGTTAAAAACGTGAAATCGGCAGCTTTAAGTATTCAACACTGTCAATTGTGTGAAATTGGTAAAACCCTTCTTAAAAAATATATAAAATATAATTCATATAAATGAATAATATGTTATACTGATGATCTTACATAAAACTTTGGAAATATAATAAAATTTAATTGTAATAATAAACTATGTGCAACATAAAAGAGTAAAAAAATAAATCGAAAGTTATAAAATTATAATTAGTGTTTTAGGTTTTATATATTTGTACCTATAAATTTTGGAAACTACTCGGCACGCCAAATTACACAACATGTCATTTTTTTTACATCTGCATTTTTTTTTGATTCGAACAAGTTCCTGTAAAGAACATTCATTTGGCTGAACGTCTGCAGTCGTTAGAGAACAGTAAGTAATTTTTAGCAGCCAAACCGTTCCGCTCAAGCCGTGTGCTCAGAATTTCTAATCGATGCTTTAGATGAGGAAATATGATCAGAAGATGATTTTAGTGACAGTGACATAAATACAAATTAAAAACATTGTGTTAAAGATAATGGTGTTGTAATGCCAATGTGCACGCATACAATCGTTATTGGTTATATAGTTACCACTTTTCGTAATTATGTCATAATAATGTGTTACCGAATTCATGCAATCAGCAAGAAAAAGTCTGCTGATTCGTGAAATCAGCAATCAAAATTTTCTGAATTCGTGAATTTGGTAGCCAAGTTGTCAGAATTTCACGTTTTCGGCAACGCCGTTGCTGATTTCATGAATTCAGTGTAATATATAAAGATTTTTATCAAAAAACGAGCTTTAGTTCAATGTAAATTGTTTTCTTAGTTGTACTACAGCAACATTTTAATATAAACCTAACGACCATCGCTAAAACGAGCGTAGTTGAAATATAACAACATGACCACGTCCGATGTCTGATTGTACGTAATAGAATAATATTCAGTTGTATAGGCAAATAAACAAATATATATTTTATTTATACAGTAAAATTAATTTACCACGATAAAAAATCATAAAGAATCTGCACAAGCCATCTTTAAACAAAACCTATCGAACGCGATACAAAGAGGAGTATTATTTATTATTCTGAGATTAATTTAATTTCAATTAAATATATTTTACATATATAATTGAATGCACTTGAAGTATCGGTACATACTATTTTGTATTGAGTACGAATAAAATGTCGCTTTCTACTTAAATGTTGTACATTTTAATTATTACATATTATTGTTACGTATACATGACAGCAGTATTAATAGCGTCGAAACAAAATATTTCGTATGTATACGTATCAATTAAATGTGTGCTGTATTCGTGTGGTTATGTGATTTGCGTGAACATTTAATTATTATTATTAGTGCGAATGTGCGAATGTATAGAATTGAAATGATTCGTAAACTCGTAAAATGTCCGTATGTTCATATAAGCTAAAACGTTTTATCCTCAACATTCATTGATTTCTACACTTAACAGATTAACAAGTTTTCCACTACATAAAAAACCCATTTTAAATGTAGCTTTAAATTTAGAATCAATCGTTTTATTTTTATGTTATGGGCACTGTATATTTTGTAGGAGTAGGTATACATTATTTTACTAAACATAATATTACTATGTCACTTAGTTTTTTTATTATTATTATTATTTAAAATATAGTGGTTGTGGTGATACTCGAAACAAAATAACAAAAATACGATATTGGTTAATTTTGGATAAATTCTATAAACATATTAATTGTATTGATATTATAACATGCCGTGATACGTCACCATAATATTATATAGATATGTATCATATATTATATTGTATAGATATGTTTATCTAATATCTATATAAATATGAGTATATCAAAATAGTGGCTTATATTATATAATATATTTAGTTTAGAAAAAATCGTGAAAAAATCAATATAAAAATACCTTAGTATTAAAAAAACGTAAAAAAAAATTATGTGTGATTATTTAATGTTGTGGAATAGTGAATTATTATTACCACTTATAAAATATCAAGTAAATAACCTATAGCCTTTATCACATACTTTTTATTAACGAATAAACTGGTAATTTAGTTATTATACTTATTAATAATACCTGGATTTATGTGCAATAAAAGTATATAAAGTATTATCCATATAAGCATATTTTTATTTTTTTTTTAATTAGTAATAGCAAAGCATACGGTTTTGAGTAAAAATATCAGATAATTTAATTATATGTATGAACATGTAACAAGTTTATCAAAAAAAAAAAAATTCAAAATTACATTATTTTTATGACATTTTGTTTAAATTAATATTAAAATACTATTACTATAAACTAATACTATTTATATTCAACTATAATTATATGACGAGTACCAGCACAAAGAAATAAAAATCAATTTTAAGTTTTCGAATCGAAACTTCTACAATTATCTCTAAACACATACTTTTCTAACTATACAAATTTCATTCAACATCCTAAAGTACAGTTAATGCATATTTAAAATATAAAAAAATCTTCAACTAATAGTTTCTCACCTTCGTCTTATTCTTTTATCTCACCGTTTATTATACAATCGATTTTTTTCTATGTATAATATCCATGATTTTTCGATAGAACATTTGAAAGTTTGAATCTAGCAAAATTTTTCTGTTTCACCTTTTTATAATTTATTTGTAAAATTGTCTATAATCAATAGGCAAGTAAAATTCGAATTTCCTTAGTTTTGTTGTAATTTTAATTAAACACTACAAGTGTTTTGTGATAACGGTGAACTTATTATTCAACTCTTAACTATGAAATAAATTATAAGCGTTTTCAATACACTTCGCTTCGTTTTGGTCAAAAGCCTTAATAATACGTTTTACTTCATTGGAATTATCTTCCACAGTACATTACTGTATTAACCCCAAAGAGTTAATATTGGTTGTTGAAGAAAATTAAATACATTTGTTTTTTTTTTTTAATATTTACACGTGAAGTTGCTTTTAAAAAATATATTTTAATATAATATGAAATTAATCGATTGAAATTTTTTAAGTTATTACCTATTATTTAAATAAGCGCGCACTTATGATACATTTCTGTTTTTTTTTTTTTTATATTATCTTGCACCTGATAGGTATCATATTATTGTTGTCGTTTAGATAGAAATATACTCATGGTAGATGCAAATGTTTGATAAGAAAGCTGAATGCCACCAATTTTCAATAGTTTTATCAAACATCTAAACAAATTTAAACAAGCGAATCAGAATCTAAAACGAGGTATACTTGTCAAGTGAAAAATCAAAAAGTGAAAAACACTTAGAATTTATTTCGTAAATATTTCATATTTAATAATTAATCAAAACCAAATGTGAAATTTATGAAATAGGAATTAAATAAGCAAATGTTTAGGGTTTAATCCAGTTCACCTTTTTGCGGTGCACCCCTGGGAATGAAATTAATTTAAACTGGCCACACATGAACCTTACTGGTATAAAAATAACTTTTGGCTTAGAACGCATATACTCATACTTCTTTTTTTTTTTTTTTTGAAAAATCTCCCTTCACATACATCGACTTCACTTACCACATCATATAGGTAACCACCGCCGCGACCGCAGTTAGGTGAACCACTGACCAAAGAGTGTCGATATAATCGTGAATAATAACTTATTGACCGGCGGCGGTGTTGTGAACGCCGCGGGTGTTGCAGGTGAGGAGAGCAAACCGAGAGCGGCAGCGGCTGTCGCGGCTACAGAAGAAGGAGATTGGGCTCGCCACCATGCTGCTGTGCGTGGTGGTCGTTTTTCTGTTGTGCAACGTGTGGGCGCTCATATCGAACGTGGTGGAGGCGTTCTACGGCATCACCGTCGATCACCTGGTCAAAGTCAGCAACCTGCTGGTGACGATCAACTCGTCCGTCAACTTCGTCATCTACGTGATATTCGGCGAGAAGTTCAAGCGGCTGTTCTTCAAGTTGTTCTTCCCGAGGGGCGTGTGGATGTGCGGCTGGCACTTCCCCACCGACGGCCGGGGAGGCCCAGTGGGCGGCATCGTCTGCGGCGGCGGTGGCCACGGGGCGATGGACGACAGCGAGGCCACGTGCAACGGGGCCACGGCGTTCGAGTGCAGACAGTTGAACACCGGCACGGGCGGTTCCATGTCGATGTCGTCCACCGACCACTTCAGGCGGTCTCACCGAGGACGCCACCATCACCACCACCATCACCACCATCATCACCATCACCGGAACGGTGACCGCGTGGACCGCCAGCGCGGAACGACGGCCAACAGCGGCGGCGGATTTGGTAACCGCGACAACTACACGTCTGAGGACAGGGAGCTATCCTTAAAGACGCCTACCAACAGCGGCATGATGTGGGAACACTCGACCACTACCACTACGACCACCGTAAACGTACATCAAATCTGAGCGTTGACAGCGTTTGTCTATGTCCTAGTCCATAGATTCCCCAACAATGTGTGTGTTTAAAGCAGACAATTTGGTCGAATAGTATGATGAGATGAGACCTGGGATGTTCAACATAATAATATTTCATGTTCGATACAGACAGATTTTAATACAGTCCAATATATAACATAAAACGGATTTAATACGTTTGAAAATAATTTATAGGAGGAAAATAAACGAAAAGAAATTTAGCTATAAAATATACTGTTTAATATGTTTTCGGTTGTGCTATCACAACGATAGTTGATAACACAAAACATGAGTGACGGGTAATTTGATTTATTTCAAGTGAATCGGTATTTTTTTTCCCAAAATTTCGTTGCTCGTTAAACGTCATCTATTTAATTATGGAAAATTAAAATCATTATACACCTGAACCGTTGGGATGATCGCTGGTCTTTGTGATTACACGATATAGTTAGACGACTAGATGACGGGCATTACTTATATACACATTACTGAGGCTGGGCAAGTGTTAACAATTTTTATTTTTTTGTTTTTAACTTTTTTAGTTGATAGAAAAGTAAATTATATTTTAAGTTAAAATTATATTAAGTTTTAATTATATAAATAGCAAGTCAAACAAATATAAAGAACTTAGTTAGAAATCGTTTTTTTTTTTTTTTTACCAAGTAGGTATTTTAGTATTTTACAATCCGTGCAAAGCATAAAAAGTACATTTGATGACATTGTAAACAAAAAACAATTATATAATAATAATAATAATAATTATATAAGTGTCATTAGCAGAAGCATATTAAAAACGAATAAAAGACCCTATTAAAAGAGGTTTTTATCTTTTTTATTTTAGGTTTAATTTATAAGACATCGAAAAATCAAGATCCCTTAAAACGTCAAACTGTTTTATCTGGTAGGATTCTTAATAAAAGATTTAAAATTAATCGGCTTGAACAATACTATGAAAATTTATCAGATATTATTTATCCTAATTGAAATCCAAAAAAAAATAAATACTTTATTCACCATTTTGAAAGTTTACAATTTAATATTTATAATACATTTAACAATTGTAAATAATACCAAAGACTGTTTTATTTTTATTTTATATAAACAGTAATTTGTATAAAACTATACATTTTATATTTTTGAAATTTATTTAAGGAAATATTTAACTGAATATGCAATTTAATTAACTGGTTAGTGCTATAAATCATGGAATACATTTTAACTCAATAAGTTAGAACTTTCTTTAAAAAAAAGCGTTACTCGTTTTATAGCATAATTAAAAGTAACTTAACTTTTACTTTTTATTTTTTTATTTATGCCCAGCCATGCACATTACAAGGACCACATACATGACTTCTATATATTCTGTATAATGTATATGATTTTATAACCTTATTAAATTATAAGTAATACGACAATGTATACAAGTGAAGATTCATTCGATCGATATTGAACGACCTAAGACAAACAAATAATCTTTCATTGTCAGTGACATCTGTCAGAAAAAATCTCTAAAAAAAAAATGTAGTTTTTTTTTATATAACCAATATTATTGATATTAGTAAACAACAGCTCATTTTGATGACGTAACTTGTTTTGAATATAATATACCGAACAACCTCACTGTTTCCATTTACTTTACAGAACAACTGAAATTCAAATCCCAAGTTCATATATGTGTATAATCGCATTTTATTTTTTTTCAAAATTAAATTCAAAAACTATCAGCCAATTAAAAGCGTTATGAATATAACTACCTAAAAGCGGACGAATTATTTCAGAATACCTAATCGTAAGGTAAATATCACTCGGATTTTAATCATTTGCCGAACGAAACCTGAACTCAAAATCAAAACGTACGCCGGGAATGACGAAGTGATTTTGGTTTTTCATATCCACACAATTGAAATCCCACGCATGTCTGCGATCGTAAGATCGCTTAATATTATCATTTATTATTATAAAATTGTATATACCAGTATGTAAATCAATTTCCGTGTACCTATAAACTATAATATATATATATATATATACGCTATTATGTGTGTTTGTGTGTCATATCATCTTATGTACGTTAAATATTATATAATGCATGTGGGTGGGTATATTGCATTTTTAAATCCAATAATACACGTTAGTGATGAAATATTCTGGGTTTTGGCAAACTCGTTTTTAGTACTATGTTTATTGTGAATACCTAACCCACTTGTATGAAACTCACATATTGATATTATCATTGTGTTAATATAATTTACGTGTGTTATAAAAAAAGGCTTGAACTAGTAGTAATACAGAATACATGATTCATTGATATTATATAATTTAATATAAAATGATACTGTATATATATTTTATTGTTAATTATTTTCCATTCGGGTATGTCACTATTATATATAATTAATATGTTACGTTTGAATATTGTGTTTGGAAAAAAAAAACAATATACAGTATTTTAACTATTATTTTTATTTATTTTTTATATATATATATATATATATATATATATATATCATATATAATATATTTTAAGTCGAAAGTATATCAAATAAACATTTTTTTTTTAATTTAAAATAACTCATAACAATAGTATGAAAACAATATACATATTTTATTGTACCTACTTATTCAATCGCATTATATAAATAAATATTAAAAATGTTTACCAAAAAATATATTTTTAAGTAGTAACTATAATATTTAGAATCTAATATTAAAAAAAAAAAATTAATAAATAAGGAAGTAGGTACCGTTCAACTATACATTAGATGTCGAGTAGGTAGGTCACTATTATGTATAGTGTATTGAATTTGAATTCAATGATTTATCAATGTATATTTAAAACGTTTTTAAATTATGTTGGTCTATAATCTACGAGTGATACGTTTTTTGGTATAGTTATTAAAGTAGTTTAATTTTAATTTTAACATATAATATAGGTTTATAACATTTTTTTTTCTGAAAATATTTCATTTATTATATTATCAATATTTAATCGCTATAATAAATATATTATTATACCATATTGTATTAATTTAAATAAATTAAAATGTAATAATACCTTTCTTTAAATACCGCAAAACAATAAAAATAGATTCATAGTACCGAATAGATAATAATTCAAGATGAATTAAAAATTTCATTAAGTACCTATAATAAAATTCATAGTAATATAATATATGTAAAAATTTAAATAACATTTTTAAATTATAGCAAAATAATTAAATAACATCGTGATTTATTGTTTAAATAAATTTCAATTTAAAATTGCTGTAAAAAATAATTTTCTTTAATACCTATTTATTAGATTTTATGGTTTCAGTATGAACTATTTATGATAACGATTGTATTGAATTTCCAAAACTTAAATAAAAAATAAAAACTTTTATGAATTTCTATTTACAAAAGAATAAGCATTTTTTGCCCCAATTTTAAAAACTAAAGCCTAGTTTTTACAGACAAAAAAAAATACACACATAATTTTAAATGATCAATACATGTATTGTTCTACTTAAAATCTAAATAAAATATTATAACATTTTAGTTTTAAATACATAGTAAGAAAATTGAGTAATCGATTTATTTTAAAACGGAAGAGATAGATTTTCAAATAATAACATACTAAAATCAAAATTGAGAATAATATAATTAAAATTATTGAATTTCAAACTTAAAAATAAAAAACTATATCATAAAATAATAGATACTATGGTCTTTCAATGAATCAATTACAAATTATAAATGATCTTGAAAAACTAGATAATTGATTCTAAAACAGCACAAATTAATTTTGTCTATACTGCATTGTATCTAGACTTTTAATAGTTTCAAAAGTAAATGTGGACCCAATTTTCGGGTAGTAAGATAAATACGTAACAGTTGATTTTATTGGAATTTACCCATCATTTATCAAATATACAGATAACAGTATTTATTAAGAATGTAAAAATTTGAATACTGTAATTTTATTTTTTTAGTACAATAATGATTGTTTGTGCAATTATATGAGCTTCATTTTTATATTTTATTCTATTTTATATAACAAACAAATACGGTTATAGATAATGGGTAATGTTTGGTATAAAAATCATCGTGGTGTATTCTATAAAAAAAATATGCAACACGTAGTAATAATCTATGGAGATAAATTCAACATAGTTTTAATAGACAAGAAAATAACAGTCAAAAAATAATTTACTGTATATTCTAAACATTTTACTTATAAGCCCTTATGGATTTTGCAAAAATTATAAAGCAAATGGCCCTCAAACACGTTGAATACCATTGATTCGCCTTCATGGAAGCAAACATACATACTCTTGTGCAACAAAGAATAGGTAAGACATAAACTTATAATATATTTTAAATTAAGCTGCTTAGTTGGTCACAACCCTAAATATTGCAGAATATTTTAGGTATTGACACTCTTTAAATAAATATGATACAAATCATAAAAAAATAACTAAAATAAGAATAGCTATTTCCTATAATGTATTTATTGTTTAAGCTACAAGTAAAATTAGACAGTTATATCTAAATATAATTAATGTCTTTTGGGATATTTTTGGGACTTTAGGTTAGTTTTACCAATTTTTTTAAAAAGTATTGAGAATTCTAAATGTTGACCTATATAAAACTATAAAGTATTATTTAGATCTAATTTTTTACAAGAAACACGTTTCAATGTCAATGATCATAACATAGTATTTTCTAACAAAAAAGACACAAAAATGAAAAATAAATCATACATTATGGTGAACTAATATACTTATCTCTAGGCTCAAAATCTAAAATTTATTTATACTAATTTAACCTTCAAGAGTTGATACAGGATTTTTTTTCAAATATAAAATAATATAATAAGCTTATATTTAATGTTTTCATTTTTGTTTAAATACACAACAAAAGGACAATATCCTCATGTTTATAACTTTTAAACTTCAGAAATACTCGGCCAGATTTCACGAATGTTTTATAAATTGTTCTTGGAGTTATCAGAAAAGTTTAAAGATTAGTTTTAACCACATACTATACCTAGTCTACTACAGATATATTACCAATTTCAGTCAGATTAATTCACGAAGCATAACACACTGACGCCGATTTTTTCTATTAAGTGAGGTATATTAACAACGAGATACAATATTTCAATACAAGTACCTAATGTATTGATAATAAATAAAAAAATTGCATGAATTTGTATTATTTATAAACTCTTATTCCAATGAATGAAGTTTGAACTAGTTTCATTTTATATATATCAGAAAGTAATGTCTAGATTAATTTTTATAGATCAGTTTTTAAATTTTAGTTCAGTATGATTTCTTTTTATATTTGTTGTTACATAAATTATACAATTAGTCAAGTACTTAAACTTTGTTGTCTATTATTTTATAATATATTCTTTAAACATTTAATTTTTTTTTAATTATCTTATCAAAATAGTTGTCTTTACATACATATATATCATATTATCATCTACACAACATTTATCTTGCATCGTAAAAATAATTATCTAATTATGTAAAATACTGTATTTGTTATTAATT